TACTGAGGACAGCCCCCAGTGGCAAAGCGGTATGTCTGCGGACTTACAACGCTATAAACCGGGTTTCGATACCCGTGGTGGGCAGAGCACAGATAGCCTATTGTGTAGATTTGTGCATAACTACAAACAACAACAGTGAGGACATAAAAACCTGATAACTGGGAGGGCTGACATGAAGCCTCTTACTTTAAGGTATATCATAATGTGACTCAATTGACATTTGGCTTCTATAAATTGAATTTCATAAAAAAAAGGTATACCAATAAACAGCAAACAAATGTAAACATATATAAACAATAATTATTAAGCAACAGTTTTGCAGTTTACTACTCATAAGAATGTAACATTAATATGGTCAGTTGATGTAATTACCAAACCGTGAATATAAAAATTGCAAAGATGGAGAGCGAAGAGCGATTTCGGAAGGGCTAAGCTCCTCTTGGCTATGAGCCTGGAAATGCGCTTTGAGGCATATAATAAAAAATAAGAACAAAAGCTCATGCGGTGACCGTGTACAAAACTTAGCCTGAAGGCAAAGATAAGAATCACGGAAGAACTAACGCATACCTCATATATCGGTCCAACAGAACACTTCCTGGTTCATCGAACACGTGCTAAGCGATTATTTTTCAAATGTTCATTACCAGAATAAAGTGGACTTTTTCTTCTGTTCACAGCACTTGTAAACCCTAACTAGAACCTTAAGGTCGATATACTTTCTTTTTACATTTAAGCCAGATTAAAACTGGTTTTATATCGATCCAACATATTTCAAACACTGCAGAGCACACACGCACACATAGTATATATATATACAGAGAGAGAAAGAGAGGAAAGGGGTTATAATTATGTTAAAAATGTGTTATAACTGTTCCACAATCTATATGTTTTTAACATGCACACGTTTCGAGAGATTTATCAATGTTAACAATTCAGAAAATAGCAAAGTTACTTACTGACGCACTCTTTCGTAGATGTTTTTAAAATACAATCTTTCTCGTATCGATCAGTATAAGAGTTTAAAAAAGTCTTTGTTCTCTGTTGACTTAGGCTTAGAAATAAACTGTGATTCAACTTATTTCGAAGGCTTACATATAAAGGTAAGTCGTAAAGCTCCTAATATAGAAAGTCGACACAAAAAGGTGTACTATAAATCTTCTAAAAATAATAAATCTGACTTACAGAGTTCCAACGTAATGTACGTAAACTTTAAACCTTACAGGGTTATATACCCACAAGGAAATTTAAGAAAAGATATAACTATAACAACGCGATGGATGGCACATGCATATAATATTTATAAATAATCTGAAAGTTATATGTGATGGAGAGTATTATATAAAATAACTATTGATATTGAATTTTGTTTATCTATACAAAGATATACATGTGGTATTTAAAATGAATTGAACGCAAATTATCGCTTCAAATGTACATGAATTTATATTAATATCTTATTAACATGTGTAAAAAGTTAAGATGTGCATGTGTTCTTGTTAGTTTCTCTAACAAATGTCAAATCCCAAAGAGTAAACGTATGTATCCTTGCTTGTATCATATAACAAACGTTTACTAAAATATACTTATATTTTATTTTTATTTCTCCAACAGATGTCACCTCTTACACTGCATGTATAATTCTAAGGCTGAAGAAACGTTACTAATGGTTGGTTACTCGGTTGAAAGATTTTGATTACGTCGACCTTTATAGGAAATATTAATTTGCAAAACGAAATTAGTACATAAAATTCCTAATTACTTTTTCAGATTTTCTTCAATGTCCAGAGAAGAAACTTAAGTTTTAGATACTAGAAAATATCTATATGTACATAGATGAAATTGGATTTCAACATTACATTTTTGTTAAATGTTTCAATTAGTTAAAATGAAAAGTTGGCGTAATTCCTTTACAGACATTGTTTACAGGCATTGTTCCATAAAATAAATATATTTTAGACTAGTGTTTCTCAACTTTTTATACACCAGGAGCTAGATCGCTGTGTTGCAAACCACTAAAATGCAACTATACAACGAAAATTCATTATGATTTACAAATAACCATTCTGTCAGTTTTGTTTGTTTGTTTTTGTTAAGATTGTACCTTAAATGTGTGTTGTTCGTGATAATGTCTCACTGTTGTACAGAAATAAATCTATTATCCCACAAAGAGCCGTTTTAAAATTTCATATGATTTTGATATCGTCAAGCTCCAACTACTTAAGCCATGACATGAAGAATGGATGTTTTTTGCGTTAAGCCATTAAATGTTTTAATCAAAGAGAACGTTTCCAGGCCACGGACCTAGCTGTTCATATTGAAAGTACCAATGATAATACCAATCGGAAAATAGCACAAAAATAAACAATAGCTGAAAACTGTGCAACACTCTGGATACAGTCTTTTATATACAGAACTCACTTTGCATTAAGCTATGAGGAACCACACTTGTGAAAGGAATCCAGCTTGACTGATCTCTATTTATAACAAATTTCATCTTCTTCCATCCAGCCGGTTTTTAATTCATTGAACAAACTTATCTCCCCCACCTACAGAGATAATTTTTTTATCAAGTCTTTTATGTGGCACCTTATCAAATGCTTTTTGAAAATCTAGATACACCAAATCTCCACCTGTGCCCTCATTTACATAAGCCGCAACCTCTTCAAATAATGTCAAAAGATTAGTAAAGCCAAATTTTCTCCTAGTGAATCCATGTTAACTATCCAACCAAATTTTAAATTTTGTTAAATGACTTTGCAAAGTATATTTAATCAAACTTTTCAAAACCTTTTCCGCCACTGATGAGCCTATAATTTCTGGTACATTTTTTATCACCTACTTTGGAAAGAGGAATAACATTAACTAACTTCCAATCATGTACCATTTGTTAAATATTCATGAAAGTGGCTCAGATATCCATTCTTTGACCTCCTTCAAAACATTTGGGTAAATATGATGCCATGCAAGAGCTTTATCATTCTTTAAACTTCCCAGTTTTTAACAAGTTAAGAATTAATGTGATAACCTTGTTCATTTTTTTTCCATCTAGCAACTGTT